AAACTAGTATGATAGACCAGAACTCAATGGACTATTCAAGGCCACGAAAGCAATAAATAGAGACTGTGCTGGTTCCCTATAAAGTCGCTCGACTATCAATAGGAAGAGAGCTCATACTGTAACATAGGTGATATCTACGATTTTTATATTGTATTATTTCTTGATAAGCTTGCACGAGGTTGATAAATATATTTATTTTCGGCTAACGTTTCGACGTCTTCGTCTTCCTCAGAGCCGGTGATCCGAGTCGATGGTCCATGCTTGTTGTTCGCCTCGACGTTGCGACTTCGCCTTCGTGTCGAGCCAGATCTTCCTCAGTGAGCCATCTTCTCGAATATTTATCAACCTCGTGCAAGCTTATCAAGAAATAATACATATTGATTAGTCACACCGAGGTTTAGTGAAGGTCGGTTTCGAAGATTTTTATATTGTTTGGCTTGTGGTGTGACTGTTATAGGGAGCCGTTGTTCGTGGCATATATTCACAATACCGCTTGAGTCTAGTTGCAGGGGCAATCATGCATTGTATTCAGATGACATTGGAAACCTGCAAGCACTACTTGTCGGCCATAAGCACATATAACTCTTCTGTTGATGACCAGTTACGTCACTCATTTCACTATTACACTCAACGTTCAAAAATCTTGATGAACTAGCAAATACAGTCGTAAACAAAAATTTTTTAAACTTTTTAAGTTTTTCAAACATTTTTCGTAACGAGAAAAACGTTCATCGATTCTTTGTCTTTTAAAGCAGCAGTTAAATTCTTAATTTCTAGAAAACAGGAGAATTCTAAAGAAGTTTTCAGCAGTTGCTGAATAAATACCACAATAATGCTGAGATATTCGCAAAACTCCGAACGCAGGTGTCTGTGGTGGGGATCGAACACGCTATTGCCTTTTCCGAGGGTAACGCGTTTATCACCAAACCATGATGGTTCTTGGCGGTAGTTCTTGAGTATCTTCCCAATAAGTGGTTGTCTATCTGGCATTAACTATACAACCGGGATGACACATAGAGTGATCATCTTCGGTTGTAGATGCTGCAGTTTTTCATGTTTATTTCGTAACAATGTTCCTGCGCTTTAATAATTGTGCAGATGTTTATAAAGTTATACTTGTCACTTTATTTGCCGAAGAGGATGAAATCTTAACTTTCCCTGGATGTAAATTTAGCTTCATGCAGAATTGCAGCGACTCACTATTGTCCATGTTTGCGCCCCATAGTCAGACCGTTGTCTGTTGTCTGGAAGACACCATTTCTAACGACCTCTTAAAAAACGATCAAGATACTGATCATTTCTGTTACAAGAAAAGAGCGCAAAACAAATTTCATTACATAACGACTACGTCGTTTCGAAATCGCTAGCCGGAGTCGTCACAGCAGCATAAAATCTCTTGTTCTATTCGTGATGTACACACTCCTTGAGTTTTGTCTTTCAGTTCTCTCAAGGAGTTCAGCAACTTGTTCCTCTCTGCCTAGCTCTTTCACAACCTACCTAACCGTTATTTTCGCTTCACTGAAGTTAACTTCTTCAAATAGTCACCGTTGATGGCGGCTGTATGACTCCGACTCTTCTCATCTTTAAGGCTGTTATCACCGCGGCGAAACTTCTGAAGCCAACTAACGTTTCCCCGCATGTTCGTGAACGCTGTTTTAGCCAAATGTTATGAGCTATTTCCGCACTTTAACGCCCATAATAACATCAGTAAGAAAAAATTTCGCATTTTCCTGCTTTGTTTTCTCAATGGCCTAGGACGTTGATAAACGCCGAACGTTTCATCCTTTATCCTTTTACTTTAGATTTTTGTTGAGTCACACCTATAAAACTGCTGAACAATCAGGAAGTTGCGCTTTTTGGTTCTTCCGTAATCCATGCAGTAGCTACCACATAATTCGATAGTGGTTAATGCTTTTTGCATGAACTCATCCTCCTTGCTAAAATAAAAGAATGACCGAAAATTTGGAAAAAAAAGCGAAAAAGAATCTCAGAAATCTAGATTTAGTATTTCGTTTCGGCTGGTCTTTGGAAGGATAAAATTACTACTTGGATAAAACATTCGACCTTCCAAAGTTGTGCGATACAGTAATTTTATATTAAATTCTGTAAAACCTGGGTCCAGAAGATCCGTCTTCTTTTGAGAATGCTTAAAAATATGCGAAAACTTAGAGCCGCACGAGCCGCAGACAAATGCCGATTTTATGGTACTGTGCAGGGCTGTGAAAGAAAATCTTGACTGAAGAACAGCAGCATCACTGGCGGAAGCTGAAGCTGTTAAGAAGAGAGGCCATACATCTGCTAGAACACTAACAATTACAACTCATAGACACCACACAGCAACAACAATCAGCTTAGACCAGCAACTCGGATCAACGCGTCTCTGAAGAAGGCCAAAGCCCTAAATACTCGCCGAATAAAAGTTTTTGTACCAACCTTGTGTCCGCAAGGATAAAGGATAAAGGGTGTGAGATAATGTTCTCGGTGTTGATCAAACGCTGAGGTACGCTTCATACATTCCACTTCATCAAACATTGTTAGAGGTAATTGAATGCATATCTGGCCTATACACTCGCGGTCCTACTGATCTGTTCTATCGAGTCAATGCTGCTAACCTCTCTGACATGTCTAGAACCAAGTTTCCGATCCTAGACGGATAGAAGGCTTGGTAAGCCTAGAGCGTGTGAGATCGAACCCGTGTGTATTGCAGTGCACCACCAAATGTTGCGCTACACCCTCCTCTTTCATGTAGAAGCTCCAAGATTGCTGCATCGAGTACAAAGATCGAATGACTACTACGTCTACGATGGACGAAGAATAAGGCCATTTACAATTTCTGCTTCTAACCAGCAGCTATTTTTTTTTAAAAACAATGAATAAGCTATCGTCATCTGTATCTGCCAGCAACGCAATGACTTAGTCTTCACACCTAATATGCTATGCAAAGCTCAATTCAATGGAAGTCGAGCAGGATATCCCTAGAGGGATTGAGGCTAGAGCTATATTGCTAGTGACCGTAAGATCTTCCTATTCTCTGTTGCATGTTAGCTCTCTGTTCGAGTCGTTACCAAGATTATTGTTAGAGTATTATACCGATGGGAAAGTATTTGACCAAGTAGGGTTTCTAAAATCACCTGAGGGTTTAAATTAGAAGATAACAATAACGAAGCTCACTGGAAAGTTGCTAAAGCGAAGATATCATTTTTCCTTTCATTCAACTGAAACTTCAAAGAAACCATCGGCACCCGGGGCATACCTACTTGGTATACACGAGTTCTTCATAAGTACAGTAATTCCACAACTACAACTTCGTTATTCTACAGCGATACCATCGTTAACGTAAAGTGAATTTTCAAAAACTCGTCACTCTCCCGACAAAACAGTGCAATAAATTTTTGGGCATCGTAAGAAGAAAACCAGAACGGGATAATATGGAGTGAATTTAATTATCGGAATCACCATCTTCTTCCTGGTGATCACCCGATTTTTATGACACCATGAACTAGGTTTGCGAAGCGAATACGCTCTAATGTAATCAGCTTCAGTGGTACGAATGGCTTCCAGTTAATGACAACGAAAACGGTGTTCGTGCGGAGTAGATTCCTTATAATACTGTATTTGCACCTAGCGAAAAAAATATCTTTCAGCGCGATGCTTATACATTACTCATTTAGCTGGACATCAACGTTCTGAATAACCTAGCTAACATAGCTCCGATGATGATTAGAAGAAAGCTTGCTGGGACACGAAGGATTTAGTGAAGGAAGGAAAGTACGCCCCTTTCTGTTATGTTTTCGACTCCGAACAATGAAAGTGCAAATTGTGAACGGCGCTATCGAACGTGTGAGCAATTTTTGAATTTTCGCACATATAGCAAGTTGGTGAGAGACAGCAATACCGGTCTCGGTCGACGGTCAACGACCTATAAACCTGCCGTAAGCAGCATCACAACGAATAAAAGTAATTATCGGCATAGCCCTACGTCAAGCATACAACAGAAAGGAATAAACAGCACAGGCAAACGTCTTCACGAAAAATTAGCTAAAGGACGGACCAAACACGACCATACATTTGCTCTTAGACAGAGTTGTGTTCAGACTTGAGGCTCAATTCGACAAACTCGCGTTATTTCATTGGTACGGCCGAAAGAATGCAATCATGGCAAAATAAGAGAGTGAGCAGAAGATGGTTCAGGACCACTTCTAACAGATTAGCCTCATTTTTACACTATGATACCTCAAGAAAGTAGTATTGGACTCAGTTGTCATAAGTGACGGCTTGGTGAGATAGAAATGAATAGCAAAAGTATTACGAAGCATGTATTGCTGTTTTTGCCTCTCGATAAAGCACAACCAATTTCACAATTTCAATAGGGAACATATACGAGTGATGTGGTCGTTTCTGTCCGTTATGATTCGTTGCTGTCTAATAAAATTACTAAATGATACGAACGCGAATAAATACAGATAGATAGGTAATCAGACACACCGACATCCCAAGCGGAAAAACGTACAAATAGAACAATACTAGTGCTATTAGTAAGGAGTGCCTGATGCGCAGTTGAACCGAGTGCTGCGCATTCCTTCTCTTTAAGGACCAAGCTCTGTATTTACTTCGTTCCGCAATCATTCCGACTGATCTGCGTCCGACAGAAAAAAAACAAACCCGACTTGCACACCGGTTCGCTATTTGCTTCCATAAATTTTCTCCAGGAGAAGAGACTTCTCACTTTCTTCTTTTTTTTAGGTTAAATGACCTGTAGATGGAAGTAAGATTTCCAGTGCCTTATCGACCAATGTAATTGCATCGTAGGTAATAGGCTCCGCAGTTTTTCCTCTTGTTTTACTACTGATATTTATACTAAGGTCGGATTGATTTTATTACCGTATTCTCTAGCATACTGACTGATAGCAAAGTCGTGAAGACCACACGCGTTTACATCGTGATGTTCATCACCGTCTTGTCTTTTCTTTTTTTAGAACCAAAACGAAAGTAATTTTACGATGACTGTCACGTATTCTCTTGACGTTGCAAGCTCATCATTTTTTTGCCTGTATAGATTATTATTCAGATGGAAGGTTGGTTTTTTTTCTAGCGTTCTTCTCTTTGGTTTTTATTCATACTTTTTTTTATGGTCAAAAACCCATTCCAGCAATGAGAGCATTTGACGAGGATTTTTATGCGTTTTACTAAGGATAGGCATGGTTTTAAAAAATATTACTATCTAAAAATATACGTCTTTCAATTATTTACGGAAATGCCACCGTAAGATGTCACGTCGACCAAAGCTTATGCAAATACTTTATTAGCTTACGCGCTTATTCTTCAATAATATCAACGCTACGACGATGCTGAGATATTCGCGAAGCTTGGCCCTAGGGCCAGATCGAACCACGATTTTCCTTCCGGAGAAGGGCCCTGACTTCTGCTTCTCTCAGTTCTCTCAGTAGTTTCTCTCCTAGTTTTCTACTTAATGCTGGCATCAGGAATCACCCATCAAAAACATTAACACTGCTAAAAAACCCTTTCTATTATTTGGCGTAGTAGTAATTAAATATTGGGCAACCAATTACGCAGATATATCTGTTTGGATATAAAGTGCTTATGTGGAGTGGTCGGAGGCGTCCTGTAACACACAAGCGGAATCGATCTCCGTGCCCATTGCTCACCAAACCTTCCCTCCCTCCGGGGTGGGTAAATTAGTATCAAACTTGTCTGAGAGGATAACAGCACTCACTCGATACTCGATCAGTAGGCCACTGCGAGTTGTTGTAAAGGTCAGACATGCATTCAATCATCACGAAACGATGTTTAATGAGGTGGAATGCATAGCGCACCCCTCAGAGTTTGTTCAACGCCAACAGCCTTATCCTTTTATCCTTTATTTAGAGTTGACTAAGGATTATGGAAGTTATAAATCGATAATCCATTCGAATAACGGCACAAATCCAAAAGCTGATGCAAAACTGCTAGGAAATAGCAATAGAAATAAAGATGTGCTTGCATGAAGATATAGAATGCTTTATTAGTAATTATGCTAGATATAATGACCAGTTTCTATTTGGTGACCGTAACAGTCTCACGGCTGTACTAGAAACCAAGAGGTGTCCAGGTTTCGTTTCGATTCCATTTAATGAAGACCCTTTCAAATGAAACTACATCTGGTTACGTTAGAATCTTCGATTTCCACTTTAATTTTGTTTTCAGATAACCTTTTTTCCAGGGATCAATATGGAAGTCTGTGTGGGCGGAATTATTGGTCTGGGTGATTCTATACAGTTTACTGAGTATATTATATAGATTAGTTCTTACAAAACCACAAAGGGAGTAAGTAGCTTGTATTTCTGGAAGTTCTCATGTATTTCGTTTGGATATCTCATGCATTGCATTTTTTGCTTTGAAAGTTATAAATTATCTGTTATATAAACAGGGAAAAAAAGATGTATAGAATTGTTTTCTTGCTCATTTTATGGATTGTTTGTTTCCTAAAACATTTCACTGTTGATGGTGGAAAACAGCTCTTTGCATCGGCATGGCGCAGGCCATTAATGGACTTCTTTAGGCGTCAGGAGCTGACAAGACGCCCATTTTTTACCATTTTCCTTTCCAGAAAGTTGTTAGAACCTGTTAAGGACTTTATTACGGTGATGGCAATTTAAACTATATGCTGTGTATTTTCCAACTATGAATGGAAATTTATACGTGAAAAAGTCGAAACCTGTTTGTATTTGTCTCGTCACTCAAAATTCTAGTCCTTTTCTTGTCTAATTCTCAATCCAGGCCTTTAAAGAAGGGCATGAACCCATAAGTCTTGTTTTCGTTAAAGTTTTAAAGTTTTGTTTGATTCGCGCAGTCTAAATCTGCTCGTAAATTCAACCATTTTCTTAATTCAGACTTTTTGAAGACCTCTGTGTGTTTTTCGACACTTACTCATCATTTATTCCTATTACTTTTATGCTTGGCTTCTATGTATCAGCTGTATTCACTCGATGGTGGCAAATTTTCGATAATATCGGTTGGATTGACACGTAAGTTGTGTACTGCTAGGGCAAAATTATTGAATAAATGCGGTAACCATTCATCAAAGGTGTTGAATGGATACCTTAACCATTAACCAGAGTACTAAGAAAGGTACGGTAGGCATACATCCCACTCCTACCTCATTACAGTATAAAGCAAAGCTATTACTTAAGTGCATGGGTGAAAGTATGCTGTTGTTCAGTTAGATTATCTTTGATCAGATCGACGGAGTTAACATATTTTCGTACGGTGCAGTAGTAAAATTTTCGGGAACAATCGTTTTTCAGTAATATGAGAACATAAATGTCGTAGGGTTTGAACTTTGTCTACAACGACAGAAGAGTTTCAGAAAGAAGAGACAGATAGCTGGAAGGTTGACTCTACGCTTTTCTGTACTTTTTACTAATTCACTTTATATTTGCTTTTTCCGAGAGCATTATTCAAGAATTCCAGCCCGTGTCTTTGGATCGCACAATATGTCCGTGGTTCAAGTGAACGAGCGCGTTTGATGCGTCGAACGTTAATACGATACTTAGTGCTCACTCAAGCGATTGTCTTCCGTGATGTGTCATCTGCTGTCAAAAAACGTTTTCCCACAATGAATCATCTCGTCACATCAGGTTGTGGCTCTCAAAATTATGTAACCTACCTAACACTGTGAGCAAACACTAACTTGTGTTAACTTCTTATTTGCTGTCTACTATAATTTTTCGCGACAGGGTATGATGTGAAATACAACCGCAACGATGTCTACATATTCGCAAAACTTGGACACCGGGCCAGATCGAACCACGGTTAGCCTTTCCGGGGGGCTAGCGTATTACACACAACAGCAATGAGGCCGTTGCCTTACGTTTCCCTCAGCGAGTTTTCTACTTAACGCTGCCATGAGCAAGGGCCTCAGTGGTGTAACACGTAATACGCGAGCTCCCGTAAAGGGTAATCGTGGTTCGACGTGACCTGGCACCCAAGTTTCGCGAATAGCTCAGCATTGTTGTGGTTGTACTTCATAATAACTAGTGTAGAAAACTTGACACTTTTGTTCTACGCATGCTTAGTTAGCATCGTTTCGAATGGACTGCCAATAATTGAAGTACCTCTGAAATTGATGATTTCCATAGTGACATAGCGAGCTAAATTTGATAAGCAAGAAGTGACACAACAGTAGCAGTGATTTGATAAATTGACTGGTAATTGATTGATTTAATCAATTGATAAATTTAGTTGAGTTATACGCAGTACGAATGAGATAAACTAACCAGACGGTGTTCTGAAGCAAAGGATGAATGCTGATCGACATTTGCTCTTGAAGAATGCTATGCTTTCTCCATTCCTCTAAGAATCGATTTTTGATTACAATGTTGCGTCGTCCGTAGTCCCACCTATCATCCATTAAATCGTGAGAGTTTAACTCAAAAATAAACCTCGATTTGATCTTTAACGTATCAGAGCTGTTCTGCAGGCTCTGCTTGCTTGAGAAACGCGTAAAGCAAAACACTTTTGGTCTGATCACCTTTCCTTTCACATTTTTTGCACAGATATTGCATTGTTTTACTCATGATTTTTTCTCTAGATAAAAACATCGAACACAACACCTTTTCAGCTTGGGTGTTCTTGTTGAGTGAGGAAGCGGCATTATAGGTAGCAGCTAGGCACTTAAGAACCTAGGAACGTTTAGATAGTGAAACTGCGAAACTTTTGTGTGACATTTTACGCTAGCTAAGCACCTATTTATAACACTGGACAATGGCAGAGAAGTTGACTAGAAGTCGGTTCAAAGAATGGTTATCGCAGTCACAGAACTGTTCCGAATCATATTCTTTTTCAATTTTTTTTTCAATATTACATGATTTGGTTTTATAAGAATAATCTTTTAATGGCATTACTAGATTGATTTTTAGGCTTAATGACCAAAAAAGAGTTGGATGAATTCGATTCAATAGTGACAACTACTCCCAAATACTGGGTACCAATGAACTGGGTGTTTAGTTTGGTACGAGTCGCGAAAGAGGAAGGTAGAATACCAGGAGAGATGATCTATGTGGATCTTATGGAGGTAAGAATTTACACTCTTTGGTGATCAAAGGCACTTTTGCGTTGATAAAAAGAGAGGTTCATTTAGAAAATACGCCAGTATCGTGTGCAGGTGCTTAGCTTGACACTTTACGATTGGGTACCTGTGCCGCTCGTCTACACACAAGTACAGAGGAGATTCTTATTAAGACGAACCTTTAAATAAGTCTGGACAAGTGTTCCTTGTAATTTTATTACAAGGAAGAAATTTCAGCCTAATTTTGTTTCTAATAATAGTTATACCTTTTTATTTTCTGCCTACTATAATTTCGCGGCAGGGTACCACTGACTGGTGATTGCTGTGGCAAAGATCGATAGAAATAGCTGAGAGACAGGCGAAATAAAGGACTCGCATGGTGTGGTGGTGAACGCGTTACTCCCCGGAAAGGACAATAGCGCGTTCGTTCCCCACCATAGACACCTGCGGTCCACAGTTTTTCAAATATCTCAGCAACGTTGTGGTTCTAGTATTAGTTTTACTAGAAGAATTTTATGTGTGTTGAAAAATAAACGAATCTTTAGGAAAAATAACTACATTGATGGGATGAACCCTTGGTTATTAAACGCCTTTAAACATCTGTCAGCAATAGCCTTAAAACTACGCCTAATTCTAAAACCAAGCATGAAAACAGTTGGCACTATTACTCAATAGAGTTCGCATTGTTTACTGCACTATAAAAAAACTTTTACCTAAAGGTTGTTCATCTGGCAGTTCGATGCTATTTCGCCGTTGGCATAATGGGCAGGCAATACCTGAATCCGGATCCGGCTAGACAATCCGCTAATAACGTTACAAAAACGGTATGAAAGCCTTCGTTGTAAATTTTATATTTTTTTATTTTAATGCAAATTTAGCTTTAGGATTTAACGTATTATTTACTGCCTATTTCTTTTAACGGCAGGGTATACATGGTGGAATATAAGTTCAACGATGCTGAGATATTTGCAAAACTCCGAACCGCAGGTGTATGCGGTGGGGAACGAACACGCACTGTTGTCCTTACAGGGGAGCAGGGCACTTCACCACCACACCATACAGGTGTGGTGAAGATGGTGTGGTGGTGAAGTGCACTGCTCCCTGTAAGGACAACAGCGCGTGTTCGTTCCCCACCGCATACACCTGCGGTTCGGAGTTATGCAAATATCTCAGCATCGTTGAAGTTATACTTCAGGATTTAGTTTTACCAGTTTTTCGGTTTGTATTTTTGAGTTTTTCATTTACAGATCGATCTTTACGTGCCAATTATGACGATATTACAGTTCACCTTCTTCGTCGGCTGGATGAAAGTGGGTCCACTTCCATTTTTTTCATTTATTTTCATAACAGTGCAAAAGTAGTCATTTCCTGTCTTTGAAGTGAATGATAATGATATCAGTAAATTTGCTAGAAAAAAATTATTTAAAGTTAATAATGGGGCAGATAGCGCATTGCAAGTGATGTCCGTCATCACGGGCATGGTGCCAATTCGATTCCTCTTCCGGCAATCGAACTCCTCATCACTCCTAGGTTGGGAAATTGATACCGGACTTATCTGCGAGGAAATCACTCTCTGTAATCCAACTGGGAACGCTCTAGGCCAGCTATCTCAGGTCTCGACCAGTATTTTGCGACATTCAAGATGAAATGAAAATTTTCGAGCAATGGCCGAAGCCACCCGTAAAACTTGAAAGACCTTCGTGGATCACGGATACGGGGAACCGAATTGGATGTGAGAAGTGCTGGTATCAATACAGTAGACGTGAAGACAAGTCAGATAAAATAAAAGAATAAAAAAGGTATAACACTTTGCAATTCACAATCTGTTAAAAAAAAAATCGAATTATTCATTGCGTCAAGGTTCACACAAAGCCGGCTTTGAGAATAAACTTGTTATCTTAAATCTTAGCACATGATTGAAAAATTTTCTTAATAATCTTGATTTGCGGCGATTCTCTGGTTTTTTCTTTTTTTTTACTTACTTAAAGCATTCAACGGTACGCGCCACCACGAATCACAGCAGAGCGTGCACGCATATGCGTAATTTCCACTTAATTCGAAAATACTCCTACTCTAAGTAACACGTTCTAGAGCGGGTTCTCGTGATGCCCCTGCTAAGACTTCCTCAGGTCGTTACCGCGCCCTTTTCTGGTCTTTGTGGAATCAAGAGATCTCCACTTTTCTGTTATGTTATCGGTATTTGCTAACGTTTCAGTATTTCTAGGTCTTACTACTGGATCGCTTTTAATATCTAGCTTTTTGAGTGTCGATATTGAGCTTTTCTGTTTGATAGATCTTGATGTAGAGATTAATTTCTCGGCTAAATTTAGTAGTTCCACATGCCTCCTTGCCACGATGAGACGGTAAATCACCATGGTGGAGCGCAAGGATAATGGGGGAGGGCTATTTTGTTCGTTTTACAACTTTTATTTGTATTTACACGTAGTACGTCTATTAATTTTGGAATAATATTAAAGACGTATGAAAAAGAAAAATCACTGCATGCGGGAACGTTCTTGGCTAGCGAACACTAACACATGGTCGTCGAAACCTTCGCAAGAATTTTTGCATTAATCATTTCGATTTCATTGGATCCTTTATTCTTCAAGTCAAGTTCAATAAAAATTGAATTTAAAAAATGTACACGGCTTATTTTTTTTCGAAATTCTATCAAAAACGTTACTTAACTGTATTTCTTAACGTTCAGGTTGCTGAGGTGTTGTTGAACCCATTAGGAGAAGATGACGATGACTTCGAGTGTAACTGGATATTGGATCGTAATTTACAGGTTCCTGATACATTTACCTTTGTCCCACCTTTTGAGTTTTGAAAGCGTCATTAAAGAAACTCTTTTGAAAAGTCATCGAAATCATTTTTGACATCTTCTTCAAACCCCGACGCAAGGATTTAAAAGTTGATGCAATTATTTTTTAGAGGAATTTCCCTTTGCTGACAATATATCTAACATTTTTCACTATTTCATGTCGTAACATTCGAGTATGAAGACTACTTTCATTACAAGTTATGAACACGGAAAGATGAAAATACAAATATGAAAAAAGTTTTTTAGGTTGGCTTTAATGTCGTCGACACAGCCTACGACCGATTTCCGGATATGGTAAGAGACAAATTTTGGGAGGAAGCTATTCCTGAGCCACTCTACACTGCCGAAAGTGCGCAACGCCCTCTTAATCCACAAGTTGGCAGTTGCGCCGATTTGTGAGTGCTCGCTAATAGTTTAGAAGACACTAAACAAAAGAGAGAAACAAACGATCGAGAAGGAAGATTTAGCTATTGTATGCGCATGCTTTGAAGGCGGCACGATGATGGAAAAGAAATAGTAGCTTGAATATAACTATGTCGTTTTTTTTTCAGCAATGGCGAGGTTGTTATGCAGCACACGTTTACTTCCGTACAAATAACACATACAACACAACAGTAGTTGACGATTCGGCATCCTTTTTCAGAGCCATTTTTTACGCGCCTTCCACTGAGAAAGAACAGCTGATTAAATTCGCACATGGTTGATGACCAGGAACCTCTGAAGGAGGCGATACTGCAGTCAGCTACTGTTGTGTTGTGTGTGTTTTTGCACGAAGGTAAACACAACCTCGCCATTGCTGAAAAGAAAGCGACATATTTATAATCCAACGCTGAGCTTAATAGGAAGACTGGTTATCTTATTGATCTTCAGTGTAAGACGCAACGGATGGGATACAAATTTTATCATCTGTAGTCTGCAGAATCACTAAATTACTCGAGAGAGCAGTAGTAAAGGCACCGTTTCTTTTCGTCACGCGCAGAACTGCTCAAACTGCCCTGTTTGCCCACTGTTTGTTAGACAATAAGAACATCACAGTTTCAATGTTATGCTCTTAGTTTAAGTTTGCTCAAAAACGATTTGCGTTAGGCCAGCAGAACAAATATTATATAGTTAATAGAAATCTAAAATAAATAAGCAAAGGATGCCCAGGTTTACCCATTGCGAGAGATGTTTTCCTTCTACTACTTCGCCGCGATATTCGAAGATTATTTTATATGTTTGCACTTATTTGACTACATGTACTACATCTTTTTTTCCAGAATTACCGAAGAAGACGCATACATGATGCGCCCACGACGAAGAACAATCTCACATACTTCTCACTGGGAAGGAGAAGTAGAAAACGATGAGGTCATACCAGTGCTTGGAACAGACAAAGGCAAAGAAACCAGGTACGTGGCAGTTTCTTGGCTGTGTTTATACCACAAAAAACGTTTAGATAACGTTTCTCCCTAGTAGCACGACATCAGGCGATTCAGCAGCATTCTCTCAGTCATTTATGAGTCAAAGTAGACGAATATCTGATATGTTGAAGCGAATGCAGGGCAGGCGAAGATCTAGTGGGTTAAACCGCCTTGTTTATATATTTTTACTATTTTTGCTTTTATCTTTAATAGTACTACACGAATACCACTTTTTTGGGGATCCTAAAGGTTTCCAGGTAATGAATATTGGCTGTCTGAAACCATTGGACTGTTCTGCTTAATATTTCGAAATCGACTTTCCTTGAACCTCAGTGTGACTAATCAATATGTATTCTTTCTTTGATGAGCTTACACGAGGTTGATAATGATATTTATTTTCGGCTAACGTTTCGACGTCTTCGTCTTTCTCAGAGCCGATGATCCGAATCAATGGTCCAAGCTTGTCGTTCGTCTCGACGTTGCAGCTTCGCCTTCGTGTCGAGCCAGGTCTTCCTCAGTGAGCCATCTTCTCGAATGAGGCATCCTTACTCAGTGATGCCCTTTTATACACAATGCTGATGGTGTATGTATAATGATAATGTCCGGTGGTAACAACTTGTATTTCTTACGATGCACGACTTCTGCACGATGTGCGCAATGATGTCCGGAAGAAATACAAGTTGTTACCACCGGACATTATCACCATCAGCATCGTGTATGAAAGGGCATCACTGAGTAAGGATGCCTCATTCGAGAAGATGGCTCACTGAGGAAGACCTGGCTCGACACGAAAGCGAAGTTGCAACGTCGAGACGAACGACAAGCATGGACCATCGACTCGGATCATCGGCTCTGAGGAAGACGAAGACGTCGAAACGTTAGCCGAAAATAAATATATTTATCAACCTCGTGCAAGCTTATCAAGAAAGAATACATATGTTCTGCTTAAGTTGATGTGTAAGTTTATTCAAGGAATGCACTTGCCGTCTGTATTCTGCTACAGCAACATATGCATACTCTGTGTAGAGGTCTTCATGTATGCACCTGTGAATGTGCTTTTGTACAAGTGGAATACATCTTGTCATCTAAAAATCTGCAACCAATTAGCTGAAATTGTTATGAAAATGGTTTTAAATCACCTACAACAAACGAAGAACTAAGAAACGACATGACTGCGTTGAAGCTCCTAAGCACTGACGTTACTTCTAAACGCCTCATCAAGCAGTCGGTTGATATACTCGCCCTCTACTAAAAAGCTGCAAATATTCAGTGCATCTGTGATGTCGATCGACGAAAACACCCAACTTGTTTCTTAGTTTACTGAACACAGCCACCTCCAACTGAGTTCGTATCATACCAGCAAGGTTGAATACCGCTTTAAACACTTTTCCTTACAAAGCCTAGTAATTCCGCTGGCGAAGAGACTTCTAGCAATTCTGCGAACGGATATCGCCCGATCATCTAGAGAATTTGCCGCTAATTCTCAGCGACATGTTGGAGTACCTGAATTTATATCTCTTACGTATACTATTCAGTCGTCATATTCAGCAAGATTTTTGAAACACTGGAACAGAGAAAGCAGTACAAACCTGCATGGTTTAGAGAATGCGATGCCATGGATCATATCCACACGATGACGGAATTCGCATTACTATTGTTATTTTACCACTCATTATTATTACTCCTTTTATTGGCAAAACGAAAGTAAGGGGTACCTGTTTTTTTCACGTTTATAGACTTTTCAAGGACGCCTCCAACTCAATTGAGACAGAAGCGGGCACGAGAGAACTGTACAACCGAGCTATTAATTCACAGTTCGTATAGATTCTTCACGAGCCGCGCAACAACTTTTCAACCAAAGTCTCGCAATTCTATTGTGACATAGCCAATAAGGAAAACAGGTGATACCTCTAGCCGAAACTATTCAGATGAATTCTCGAAAACGTAAAATTGAAATGAAGGATAGCATCATGGTGGACAGAAAAACAAGTAATTCTTATGCTTCCATGTGATTTCTGTTCTCATCAATCCTTGATCAATGCCGAGGTTAATAGAAAGTTGGTCATGGGAGAAAAATCAAGGGTGCACTGAGAAACTCACAAATGTTGGCTTCAGCTTCAGTACTTCGACTTCCTGATTCTTACTGATCTATGGTATACGTTGTGGCGTTGAGTTTACAACTTTACATGAATAACAAGTCGTTGGGAATATTAGCTTTTGTAGCTCCCACGTGGGCAATTTGTAAGTCGCCGAGTCGAACGCCTTGATACACTGTGTTACAGTTTTATTATCATCCTAGCAATAACAACATTAACAGCACAGCGAAGTATATGGACGAGATGAACGAACTAGACAAGCACTGGAAGAACACTACGAGCACTCCGAACACTGCGAACACTAAGAAAGCTCACTGATGGGCTGCTTATATTCCTTATGTAGTGGGAGGAGCTTTGACAGAGGGAACTAGTGACAGCTGTTAGAGAGAGAGGTTTTAAAAGTTCCTCAACTAGTACAGTCTGATAGAGCTACATCCATAGAAAGTTTGTGAAGACCATAAAGGATAAAAAGGACAAAGCTCTCAGAGTTGTTCAATCCCCGAGGGATGCCCCATGCATTCGACTTCATTAGGTATTATTTCTGGTGCATATCTGGCCGTTACAATGGCTCGCAGTGGCCTACCGATTTATCAAGCTAGTGCTGCTAACCTCCCAGACCAGTCTGATACCTATTTGCCGACCCCAGAGGGATGGAAGGCTTGGTGGGCCATAAGCGCGAGGATCGATTCCAGGTGTGTGTCGCAGTGGCGCCTTCAACCACTGTGCCACACGGGCCGTGAAGACTATACAATAATTTATGCAGAAAGTACATGTGAAAGGGCGCAGCTGCTCCTACGGAAAGTTCAATAGAACGACAGATGCTGGAAAGTACATGCAACTTTATACCACGTAGGAAGGAAGAGACTCTGGTCTTCTTATTCAAATCGCTGTCAAAATATGCGAAAAGGATAGAACAATCGTGTATCATGTGTATTTGCAAAGAAAAAATCCGTGATTTCGACATTTATTAACAATTAAATATCACAGACAGTGGACATCATGGCTGTGCTCGCCGAGTTATGCGTTATAATGAGAACAGTTGCCCTAGAAACTCAGCCTCAAGTGATGTCAAGTGATCTCAAGTAGGAAATTCGCTAAACTAGTGGTGGGAATTCACAATTAATCGGAATCGAGTGATCTGAACGAATTAATTTTACGTCATCCATTCCCATCCATTTGAGTCAGTCAACGACAAATTATAGAGATCTAGCTGATTACTATTGTGGTCAATAACAATGGTATCATGGTTAAGTTTCTATTTACTGCCTACTATTTTCCATGCCAAGGTATTATGTGAAATGCAACAATAATCAAATATTTGCAAAACTCCGAACCCTGTGCCATTTTCGAACCCAGAATAACCTTTGCCAGAGCCTTTCACATAACACCTTGCCATGAAAAATATTAGGCCTTAAGTAGAAAAAGTTGAACATAGTGATTTCAACTGTACCTTTAGTCTAACTGGGTACACTACTGATTGCGCTTCCCATATCATTTTCGTTGAAGGGTGATTGCCGATGTCACTGTTAGGTAAAAAACTGGCTGAGAAAAAGGCGAATCAGAAGCACCAATAGTGCAGTGAGTAACACGTGAGGTATCAGCAAAATACCAATGGCTGTAATTTCGATTCCGCGCCACAGCTTTACCTAACCTCTCATCTCCTGAGGTTCTACGAACTGGTACCAGATAGCATACACTACCGTGACAGGTCGAAGAACCAAAAAAGTTACTGTACAGGCCAAATGTGCATTCAGTCACCTCTACGGCTTCACGAGTGAAGCCCAATGCAAGGCGCATCCCTCATAGTGTAATGAAGGCGAACAATTAATCTTAGCCCTTTTATTTACTTCCTATTCTTTTTAATGGCTGAGATACAACTAGCTGAGAGACAGGCGGAATGAAGGACCCGCATGGTGTGGTGGTGAACGCGTTACTCCCCGGAAAGGATAATAGCGCGTTCGTTCCCCACCGCAGACACCTGCGGTCTGGAGTTTTGAAAATATCAAGTTATACAAGTGCAAGTGCAAGTGAACTATACAAGTTATATTTTGCGAACAATTGATTTTTTGCCCATATCCTTTGTACTCTACTCAGTTCTATAATTTAGGCACAGCAAACGCATCATTCGCTCGAGTATGGAAAGGTCAGCGGGTCTCCGATATTAATGTGGAGCATGCTATCGCCGACTCTAAATCGAAGCAAGTTTAAGAAATAGCGATATAGAATCGATTTATTTCTTAAATATTTTCACAAATTATTAAGCTAATGCAAGGTTGGTCAAAAGTTTGTTGACCAAGGTTTCGGCGCCTTCCCCTTCTTTAGATCTAGATCGATCTGAGTCGATCATCCACCACCGTTCGTCCTCGATATGTGGGCCTTTGTTCCCTTATCCGATGGACTAGATACTGCTTTTATGAAGCATCCTCACTATGCGGGCCCGTTTCATGCAAGACCGTTGTTTATCTACTGTCATTCACCTTGTTTGAATCAATGCCGCAACGAAAATCCATATCGCCAGGACGAACGACTGTGGATTGTCGAATCGAAGCCGGCTTTGAAAAGGACAAAGTGTTGCAACATTAACCGAATGAAACTTTTCAAAATGCTCCTGCTTAATAATCGGAAAAATATTGTGGTCAGCTATGCTGAGGTTAGATGAAAGTTATTTTCTCCTAAGATTACCTTGTTAATACTTACCTGTTTATTGATTTTTATATTTCAGTAAGAGCAGTTCTTCGTCACTGGATCGGTTTAACGAATCTTTTCACAACAATGTTACGCCGCCAAATGTGCAACCGGCTAACGCGAACAACAATTCAGCATCCGATAATATGAAAATCACTACTGAAGAACGAGGATTGAAATCACCAAATACAGTTGGTTACTGGTCATTTGAACCGCTGTTTATAATTTTTAGGAGCGTGTAGAGAAGTGATCAGAGGTGTCCAGCAATAAA